GCCACTCTCTCGTGGCTGAGGAGTTTGAGCTGTAGAACCTAAACGATCGTCTGGCCACCTAACGAGGAGGACGATTGCCCAAGCAGCCAAAGCAAAGACGGATGAGCAGCGGAGGGTTTATCAGCAGTTTCTTAGAATTTTGGAATTCAATTCAATTTGGAAATTGAACTGCCTCGATTTATTTATTCTTAGGCAATATTTTAAAATTGCATAAAACCGTAACGGGTATCGTATAGTCGCGGTACTGGACTATATCGCTTCTTCTAATTTGTATTTTAGTACGATTGACTTTCAATAAGAAGGGTGGCCGTCGCGCTTCGCAATCCCCTTTGTAAGCTTGACATAGTCTTCTTCTTCTTATGTACCATGCGCTGGCAAAATAAAATAATTTTCGTTAAGGTTACTATTCCACATTTATTGCTGTGCTTTGGGATATACACGCCCACTCTTACGCCTGCTAAGTTCGAAAGGCGGTTTTCGGTTTTGTAGAAAAGCTTATACCTCGGTAACTATAAGTGACCGAAAGTTCACGCCCACCCTACGCCCACAAAACCCGGAAAACCAAAAATGAAAAAATCTCTGGCGTCCATAATATTACTTTGTATAACATAATATTTTCAATATCTATCGATTTACCGAAGATTATGCAAATAATAGGCTATAATCAATCACATGGACAGTGGCGTCACCATTGTTAGTAAACATGCATTTCTGACAAAAGTTTTCTCTTTTTCCATTTCCATTAGCAAAATAGATATTTTAAAATTGTGTAAAACAGTAACGGGTATCTTATAGTCGCGTCAATCGACTATAGCCTTTCTTCTTGTTTTAAATAATTTGTAGATAAAGTAAAATATGCGCATATATCGACTTGGTACAGTCGTTAGTTAGAAATCAACATTGTTGCATTGCATAAACAAAGCCAATTTAGAGCATTTGAATTAACTCTCCCTTCATGTATTCCTTTATTTCGAGTACAACTTTTGGGCTTTTGCATCTCATCGTGGGCTTCTTCCGCATCGGTCGCGAGCAGCTCGATTCATTCACAAGATGACAAGACCTACGTCATCTGATATCTGATTTAGCCTCCTACTTTACGACTCGAGGCAAGGACAGACGGTCCTCTTTGTTTGTGGTGTAATATTTCAAGGTCGACCATTGAAAGCCACTGATTTTTTATGGTCACTAAAGTGTTTCCAAGGTGCTTAGCTTTTAATATTTTTTTCTCTATGACTACAGTTAGATCATTTAAAAAGTCTCGTAGAACTATTGCTTCCACAATAGAGAACCCACTGCTGACCATTGGAGTATTCCGCAGGTAACAGCGTGTTCCATGACACCTCAATCTGTGTCGTAGCGCAAGATGCGATCGCGGATCACCAATTTTTAAAAATACTGAGAAATTTGTAACTATTGGTAATAGAAAAATGGGATTAAGCATGTAATTTTCAATAATTCCACCAAAGCGAATTATTTTTTCCGCTTCTGACAACGCCTACTCAAATCTCGGGAATTGTAAAAGCTAGAAAGTAAGGACTCGGCATTCGTATTCTAGAAATTTCGCAGCTCGATATGATTTTTATACAATGTATACAATTGTTAGTCTATATCTATCGACATGCCAAAAATGTTTCAATTTGGAAAAATATTTGCCGATTTATTAAGAAGTATAGGTTATAAAGAGAAGAGACGTTGCCATCAGTTATTAACCAACCTTTTCTGACAAAAAAATGCGCTGCGTCAATTTCTGCCAGCAAAATTAGTATTTAAAATTTGGATTAGATAGTAATGTATATCTTAAACTCACCGCACTCGACTGCAGTGTTTCTTATTGTTTTTATAACTACGATATTGTATGCTGTTGTGTTTGGTGTCTCTTTAGATCTGCCTACTGGATGCTATTAGGCAAGTTATATCCTTAACGTCGGTCTCAGTGTACATTTACTGAGGCACCTTGTCGCTCTCCGAAAAAACCAACAGCTGCAGAATGTTAGGTCCATTACAGATACGGCTCGGACTTGTTTAAAAGTATGCTCAGCATATTGTTGTATTCTCAAAACAATGGAAACTTGCTGCGATACTTATGATCCGTTAGCCCGAACAACCAGAGGTTGAACCTGAGTCGTAACGTCCAACAAGACGCAACAGCAAATGTGGTAAAAGAGTATCTTGTTTTATTGCAGTTTGGTCCAAACGGTGGAACCTGAAGATCATTCCGTTGAATACAACGAACACCTGTTTTACACTGACGCTAATAATCAATACCCCTCAATACTCTAAAGCAGCCGTCGCAAACGAATTATCTTGGCATTGCTTGGACAAACGTCTAACCTATGATCCACATCTCAAGAACACCGTTAAAATATGTAATCTAAGGATCCAGCAAGTACGCTGGCTTATAAATAAAATAAGCAAGTTGCCACTTAGATGCAAAAGGCGGTATATGGGCATTGCATATTATCAATATGGCTTAACGGGATACCAATTCGGGGGGTTCCAGCCAAATCGAATTACAAAAGGAATTAGGTGTTGCCAAATCGAACCCTAAGAACATATCAGACTGTCCATGGTACGTGCGTGGCACCACTCTACATAAAGGTTTGAAGTTGTTCACTGACGAAGAGCAGATTGGAAGACACACAAGCAGATACAGACTGAAAAAACATCGAAGCCTACTTGTTAGAAATCTACTTCCAGCTGGACCAGCTGGCGTCTGAAATGGCAAGGCTTTGCCAAAATAATTAGGAGTATGAGGCTATCATTTTCACATTTGTAATCCTTTTGATGAAATTTAGGCTTGGTTTATTTCTCCATTTGAGTTCAATGTGATGTTGAGGTATTTTTAAGACGTACTGATTCTTTACCTAATAAATGATTGTGCAAAAAAAAATGTGTGGTTTCATGGTTTCAGCGCTGACAGAAGCGAGGGAGAAATGCATCACAGGTCCAAAGGGTTTCGGCCATTAAAATCTCATTTATAAAGTTATCTTCTGTTTTTTGATTGAATCTCATCCCTTTCTTTTTTGAGACGGTGAAATACATTCAGGTTTTTGTATAGCTTTTAAAACCGCCTCGGGACACAATATCAACTAGCTTGTTACCCGCGGGGCCCTTATTAATTTGGGCTAGTGGAAATTTCGATTAAAGGGAATATAAAACAGTCCAAAAATTGACTTAATAGCACTTTAATAAGTTAGACTTAATTTCTAAGCAAGGGATAGATATTGAATCAGTAGTAGTAGTAGGATGATTGTGGTTATTATAATTAATGCGAAGGACACGAAAGGGTTCATGCTGGCTAAAATTGGGTAAACATCTAGGCAAATTAATAAGTATGTAGAACCTAAACGATCGTCTGGCCACCTAAATTGACCGTGTGCGGAACTTGGAGACAGAGAATTCCCACCGAGATGCAGAGTTGCGTTCGACTCGTGTTCGTATGCCGCTCTAAATGGTAGCGAACGTCACGGCCAAGAGGTGGCTCAGCTCGAGAAGAAGCTTATTCGCCTGCGCGAAGAGATGATCCATCAACTGCTGGAAAACCAGGACCTCATGGACATCAAGGACTCACTGGAAATGGCAAGGCTTTGCCAAAATAATTAGGAGTATGAGGCTATCATTTTCACATTTGTAATCCTTTTGATGAAATCTAGGCTTGGTTTATTTCTCCATTTGAGTTCAATGTGATGTTGAGGTATTTTTAAGACGTACTGATTCTTTACCTAATAAATGATTGTGCAAAAAAAATGTGTGGTTTCATGGTTTCAGCGCTGACAGAAGCGAGGGAGAAATGCATCACAGGTCCAAAGGGTTTCGGCCATTAAAATCTCATTTATACAGTTATATTCTGTTTTTTGATTTAATCTCATCCCGTTCTTTTTTGAGACGGTGAAATACATTCAGGTTTTTGTATCCAGTACTATTTACTAAATTCAACCCACTTAATAAATAGGCAATTTCAAAAAGTTTTGTGATTTAAATGTTTTCTGAACGTTGATGGACTGCAATGATTGACCCAAAGCTTGACCCACTTGCTTGTTACTCGCGGGGCTCTTATTAATTTGGGCTAGTGGAAATCTCGATTAAAGGGAATATAAAACAGTCCAAAAATTGACTTAATAGCACGTTAATAAGTTAGACTTAATATTTCTAAGCAAGGGATAGATATTGAATCAGTAGTAGTAGTAGGATGATTGTGGTTATTATAATTAATGCGAAGGACACGAAAGGGTTCATGCTGGCTAAAATTGAGTAAACATATAGGCAAATTAATAAGTATGTAGAACCTAAACGATCGTCTGGCCACCTAAATTGACCGTGTGCGGAACTTGGAGACAGAGAATTCCCACCGAGATGCAGAGTTGCGTTCGACTCGTGTTCGTATGCCGCTCTAAATGGTAGCGAACGTCACGGCCTAGAGGTGGCTCAGCTCGAGAAGAAGCTTATTCGCCTGCGCGAAGAGATGATCCATCAACTGCTGGAAAACCAGGACCTCATGGACATCAAGGACTCACTGGAAATGGCAAGGCTTTGCCAAAATAATTAGGAGTATGAGGCTATCATTTTCACATTTGTAATCCTTTTGATGAAATTTAGGCTTGGTTTATTTCTCCATTTGAGTTCAATGTGATGTTGAGGTATTTTTAAGACGTACTGATTCTTTACCTAATAAATGATTGTGCAAAAAAAAATGTGTGGTTTCATGGTTTCAGCGCTGACAGAAGCGAGGGAGAAATGCATCACAGGTCCAAAGGGTTTCGGCCATTAAAATCTCATTTATACAGTTATATTCTGTTTTTTGATTGAATCTCATCCCGTTCTTTTTTGAGACGGTGAAATACATTCAGGTTTTTGTATCCAGTACTATTAACTAAATTCAACCCACGTAATAAATAGGCAATTTCAAAAAGTTTTGTGATGGAAATGTTTTCTGAACGTTGATGGACTGCAATGATTGACCCAAAGCTTGACCCACTTGCTTGTTACTCGCGGGGCTCTTATTAATTTGGGCTAGTGGAAATCTCGATTAAAGGGAATATAAAACAGTCCAAAAATTGACTTAATAGCACTTTAATAAGTTAGACTTAATTTCTAAGCAAGGGATAGACATTGAATCAGTAGTAGTAGTAGGATGATTGTGGTTATTATAATTAATGCGAAGGACACGAAAGGGTTCATGCTGGCTAAAATTGGGTAAACATCTAGGCAAATTAATAAGTATTTAGGCCTAAAGGAATTATTAAAATAGAACCAGGTTAGTAAATCAACAGAGTCCCCCTCATCATCTATCCCATCATCTATTTGTGAATATACCAATATATCATCATAAATCATAAAATAAATTGAACTAATAAAAGCTTAATCTAAACATTTACATTGAAATAAAAAATATTACTATTGCATCTTTTAAAGGGTACACTTAAAAGTTATGTGAACTTACCGCAGTATGACCTTGTGATCTTGTATGCACTCAACTAGACGCTTGTAGCGCTGGTCTTGACTCTCGAAGGGATCAGTGCCTAGACGTCGAAGGCGCTCCGCAAATATAAACATATGGGCGCGCAGTACGAGAACGAAGTTCACGGGGTAGCAATCAACACAGACGTCCTGGAAGCATGCTCCAGCCATTGCGAAGTATTCTAAACCGGCCTGCAGAGCCAAGTGCAGCGAACTTGAACGCCAGTCCAAATAGGGGTAGTAGTTTTGGTAGGGAGGTCTTCCAATGAAGATCGCCGAGAGGAATGTATTCGTGGCATAAACCATGTAGACTGTCATAAAAAAAAAAAATATGCGATTGCTAAGCATAACAGCGCGGTGAACGTGCATTCGGTCGCCCGGCTGTGAGATGCGCTTATCCATCTGGTCGAGGATGTCATTAGCCTCATCAAAACGATTCACAAGCGCCCACACAATTAGCACCTTGGTGGAACAGGACCAAGCGTTAAAGGCTACCTGCAGCGATGTAAGAAACTCCCCCGGTGAGAACTCGGAAAGATGGCTTATGTAGCCCGTGAGGAAGCCAATGGGCTGGTAAAACGTGGAGCAGAAGTTTAGGGCGAAGGACCAGAGGACGTATACCACGAAGAATTTTCCGGGAGGTTTTCGTACACCCATAAGAAAGATGCATCGCATCAGATACAGGGTGGCATCCCGCGAGCGTGCTGGAGAGTCCTCGGATTTGATGAATAAGGCAGAAAAGACTTTTCGCAGCTCCATCACAAAAACACTTTCTATTGAACCAAAGTTAGGCAGCACAGTCCTTTTATAGAGCCGCCAGTGGCGTGATTATAAGGCCATCAATCCCCGGTTAACGTAATTCAAGAGTGACTATTCAAAACTCATTTGTTAAAATCAATTAGATTAATAATGTATTCAAAAGTATGCCGAGTGTATATGGCTATGCCCTCTTCTCCATTAAACTGATGCAATGTGGAGGTTAGAAAAATTAGACATTAAATAGCAATATGCTTCTCATGCTTTACTGAAGTGTATAACCATACAGTTTTACATAAATAAACGATGATGAGACCAACAAACAGCAATACGCTATACAGAAATGTCCAACTTTACACTTTCACATAAATAAATGATGATGAGACCAACAGGCTGCAATCAATTCAAAGGTAAAGGATTACAATTTGGTTGGCTTAGACTGCAGTTATTGGTATAAAAAAAAACTATAGGCGAATGCCGCGACCAGAAGATGCCCTTTAATGTGTTTCCCAATTTTAATATATTCAATTTGAAATTGACGAAGCGCTACCTTTTGTTAAAACAAACATGTTTTGTAACTGATGGCGACGTCTCTGCCCTTGCGAGGACTTATAACCATTTTATAATGATTAGCGATATACTGTTCCGATTTGATCTTATGAGAGATCTTATTTGAGATCTTATTTCTAAAAGCTGAAAAATTCACATTAGTCACGTATAATCATGAGATGCCAGTACATCTCAAGGTTGTACCATAATCTGGCCACGCCCACTCTTAAGCCCCCAAAACAGCGAAAAACGATACCCGCATTCTCTAAGAACGCTGATATTTCGGTAACTATACGTTATAGAAAGTTGGGATTAAGCATGTAGTTTCTAATGAATCCATGCCCTCTCTCTCTTTGTCAATTTCCACTAGAAAATGAATGTTTTAAAATTGTATAAAACAGTAACAAGTATCTTATAGTCGCGGCATTCGATGATAGCGTTTCCTTTTGTTTTATATTAGGTAATAAATACAATTCAAAAGTTTTAACAATTTTAATATTTGGTGGATCCTTTGTTGACCTTAGTGACAGCTTGTAAGCTTCGACCCATGATGCTTTTTATTATTATTCAGCTATTAATGCCGTTTTCAAGGATCCCTTCGAGGACTACTACTACTACTTTTCCCAAGCATATACCATACGTGTTTTACGGAATTTAAAATATATGCCAGAAATGTATATATTTTAAATACATTTTTCGAGATATTAAAGAATAAGATGGAATCTCAATGGTGAACGAATAAATTGTGTACTGACTGTACATTTGCCGTATAGTTAGTCATTTTGTTCAGTTGATATAATTCCTTTTAAAAGAGAGGCATATTCAAGGAAATTCAAAGCAGAGTAATATAAACAGGTAATGTGTATGTTACTGAGTGAGGTCCGATCATAGGCAGTGAACTGAGAAAAAGAACAGTGACACCCCTCTCAGTAGCTTTGAGGTTTGCTGTTGCATCGGCTGGGTGTACTATGGAGTTCTCGGAAAGAGTTGTTACCGACTAACCAACAATTTATTTCAATAAAGACCCATCTGTGTAAAGCAAGGTGTAATTCATAAGAGTCTGCTTGGTTTCGAAAAATTCTTTTGGGGTACTTCAGTTTTTAAAATGATGAACGCTAAGATCGCTGGGACTATAAGAGATACAACGTTGAGATTAAGCATGAAGAGGTCGCTAAGCAGCACAAGTTTTTTTCAGCATCCTGCCACGCTCACTCTAACGCCCACGAATCACAAAAAACTAAAATTGCTGAAATTAAGTATGTATAATCTTGGAATCTCAGCACATCTTATGGTGGTACCATTATTCGGCCACACCCACTCTTACGCACACCAAGCTCGTAAGATGGTTTTCCCATTTCGTAGAAATGCTAATATCTCAGACCTATAAGTGAAAGAAAGTTCGTAATAAGAATGTAGGTTTTTATATTGCCCTCAATGCGAATTGTTTTTTTCCCATCCAGCCACGCCCACCCTAACGCCCATACAACTCGGTAGACCAAAAATGCTAATAGGAATTTTTTTAATTTCATATTTTTTAGTATTCTTTTGTTTCACTTAAATAGGTTTTTAGTCATAATTTTGAAATTTGATTTGGACCTATCATTATCATTTTGTTCCAAACTATAAGAGCTGGTTGACTTCGCATATTTGTTTGATCCTTGCTTGTTCTTGGTTGTGCCACGCCTGTTGATTGTGATTGGCACATATTTGGTTATACCTTAATGCGATTCCTATTGTGTGAGGTTTTGGCTGCATTTGGCCACTGATCACTGATACAGAGCGTAGTGTCAATGTATGGGTTTATAGATAAACCACACCGCGGTCGTTTATATTGGACCGGCGCTACAAGCTTCAAAGATAACATAACGTAAAATTTCTTCAAATTCTTTCCTGGTGTATAGAACATTGAGATGCCAAGGATCCGGTGGAGAGGCAAGATTGTTGGCGACATGCTTTCTCTGTCGGCTGCCTCTGACGGCTCTGACGGCTGGGGACAACTACCATAGTGGCTTCTGTGTGGACCAGTGGTGGATCGGAAGCTCAGGACCTGCATGGGAAGCTCAAGACCTGCAGGCGAAGCTAAGTTCGTTGAAGGAAGAAGATAAACTTTTGCAGTTGGGGCAACAACTTATACATAGGCGGAAGCCTCCCAAGGAGGGGCTGTCGAAATCCAGTGAGGAATCCAGTACACGGTACCAGAATTTTGGGACGGAGACAATTGGCTACGTTTCCCATGTAGAAGAAAATGATGCTAGTCGGAGAGCTCACGCTAGCACCTTGGATCATTTCTATCAGTGTCGAGGACAACTAAGGAGATATGGTAATTAAGCCCGTGGGCAAACCATTCCATGAACAATTAACAGGGAGATAGCTAGCGGGACTGAGCTGCTGAAGTTTTCCGACACGCTGGAGGACTGGCCCTTGTGCATCGCAAGCCAAGCAAATGAAGACCCGCGAAGCGCTACTAGACCGTGGGGCCTTTTTGCAGATGTTTGCAAAGCCACAAGGTGGAATTTGCGGCGTTCCCAATCCTTGCGAAAAAGACGCAAATTCTTAAAGAACTTCGCGACGTTCACTCGCTCAAGTCACTTGATTTTCCTTCAAAATCGTTGGATATAGCCCACCTGAAATCACAGCACAGTTATCTTCGACATCTACCACTATCCTGATAGGCCAGAAAAATTGCAGGCTAGGAACGCACTATAGAACGTACCGATCGCTGAGTACACACGTCGGGGGTGGACGATCAAAGGAAGAAGCTGTTGGGGTGAAGACGTAACTGCAAACCTACTTCACATATGTGCATCTTGCGCTTTCTTGAGCAGTGCATGTGGACGCACGGTGATCCTGGACAGGAGAAAAATAGCCTGAGCCTAACCAATGATCAACTGGCTATTCCGCAGCAGGAGAAGAATACGAAGCGTATAAATGTAAGATTTTAGACAGTTCTGCTGTAGAGGTCAAAAGATCATAGATACCCATGATTAATATTTATAGACAAACATAAACAACGGACAGAGAGCAACGACATCTAGTAATGACGTTTGGGGCCAAATGCTCTCCTAGCTGTTCCTAGTATGTGAAGAATGCAAAAACGTTCAAGAAGCACAACCTACGAGAGTTGGGTAGTCAAGGTTTTTGTTCTCTCTCTCTTCGACTACATTTAACAGTGAGAGATTATAAGCTCGTTCTAGGCGTACAAGCTCTAAAGCTCTCTCGACTATTTGAAAGCATAAAAAAAGACATAAACATGAAGAGAAATAAATATTTTTTTACAAATGAAAACGACAAAGAACATTATTTATATTTAAATAAATATTAATCTCACAAAAGTGGCGCAGTCGACGGAGTAACCAAATATAATAAAATTCCCACTTAAGTGCAGTATTGAGCGAATTTGTACCTGTATAATCCCATTCATATGTGCCTACCTTGTGCAAAAGACTCATAACCTGAAAAGGCACGTTTTGACAAAACATACTGGCTTTTACTTGATTTGCAAAAGAGTGTACAGAAAAATAAAAACCAACTAAGTGTTTTTGTGCATAGGGTATTTGCTGCATAACGTACAACTTCGTGCTTAACCTAAAAACATAGAGGTCATTTTCTGTGCAGGGTGCCGGCATTTGAAACTGCTTTCAATTGCACACACTTACACCAGCATCTCGGAGTGAACTTATTATGTTCGAAATTAGTTCGATGACAAGTTCAGAAGAATGTTTGGCATCGATTAGCGACGGAAAAAAACAGAACTAATTATGTTAGTATATTGTAAGTTCTATAGAACTCAACGGCTTTGTATACCAGTTACTCGTAGACTAAAAGGGTATATTAAATTCCTGCATGTCCGTCCGTTTGTCTGTCCGGTCGTCCGTATGAACGCTGAGATCTCCAGAACTCTAAGAGATACAAAGTTAAGATTAAGCATGAAGAGGTCGCTAAGCAGCGCAAGTTTTTTTCAGCATCCTGCCACGCTCACTCTAACGCCCACGAATCACAAAAAACTAAAATTGCTGAAATTAAGTATGTATAATCTTGGAATCTCAGCACATCTTATGGTGGTACCATTATTCGGCCACACCCACTCTTACGCACACCAAGCTCGTAAGATGGTTTTCCCATTTCGTAGAAATGCTAATATCTCAGACTTATAAGTGAAAGAAAGTTCGTAATAAGAATGTAGGTTTTTATATTGCCCTCAATGCGAATTGTTTTTTTTTTTCCATCCAGCCACGCCCACCCTAACGCCCATACAACTCGGTAGACCAAAAATGCTAATAGGAATTTTTTTAATTTCATATTTTTTAGTATTCTTTTGTTTCACTTAAATAGGTTTTTAGTCATAATTTTGAAATTTGATTTGGACCTATCATTATCATTTTGTTCCAAACTATAAGAGCTGGTTGACTTCGCATATTTGTTAGATCCTTGCTTGTTCTTGGTTGTGCCACGCC